CGGCGTCATGCTCCAAGGCGCCGAGGTACAACCATGCCAGCACTAGGTCAACTACCACGCAAACCGTGGTATGCGACCTCAGCGCCATGACCACGGCGCCCAGGCATGTTACCTCGGCATCGTTAGTCATGCCACCAAACCCCTGGGTCCAAAATCAGGTTTACGTCTCCTAGAGATCTCAATGTGAATTTTTGACATAGTTAAATTAAAAAATTTGGACCAAGAACCTCGCCTAGACTAATCGAACAAAACTTTTATCGTGGGCTGGATTTTTTTCAGGTCGGTGCATTCGCGTGGATCAAGCCACAATGAATGACCTAAATGAATAAGGCCTAATCGGGTGACAGAGTAGATGTTTTCTCGAGCTCAAACGTGCAGTCCAAAACCCACGGTCTCCTACCGTCATCTCCCTCCCCAACCCCCAACTCCAGTCCTCAGAGGGGAAACCCTAACCCCCAAATTAGGTCGATCTCCTCCCACGCTCCCAAATCAGATAGAACTCTGAGTTCGAGATTCGTGAAGCTCCCTCACTTCCTAGATCAGAGAGCTCCGAGATTCATGGCGCTCATCTCTCGTCTTCCTTCCTAGATCCTCCTTGAGGAACTCTGGGTACATCGACGATGATGGTGACCAAAAGATCCTCGTTGATCGAAAAGGACACATCGACGATGACGACGATTACAGCAACGACGTGACCACAACTGAGGTGCATGGTATTAAGATCTCCTTCTTTGTCGCCGATCCACCGCACCTCTCCCACTTCAGCGTCCATAGTCCGGGTCCGATGAAGAACCCGTCTTTATGCAGGAGGTCGCGCACTCGCGCATCCTCCATTAGGTGGATAACCTTGTTGTCATCTGCATCACCTTCTCCGTCGGTGGCTTGAACAATGTCGAGTACTTCATATATAGAGTGGTTGGGCATGGGCAGCGGCCATCGCTCGAGCATCTCAGCACATCACTGATCGTCTTCATCAAGTGCCAGTTGTTTCCTCCATCGACATCCTGCCCCTGCCATGCAACAGTGATAGTGGCTTCATTGTGGCTGCTCTCACTCTCATGGGAGGTAACCAGTACGACCTTTATGTTTTTTGTCCCAAGCGGGGCACATGGACCAACAAAATGCACTTGCTTGAGCATGACCTGGTTATTAACATACAACTTATCAATATATAGAAGGCTATTATTCTTTCAAGTGGTGAGATAGGATTTGTTGACCTATGGAAGGGGATTCTAGTGTTCAACATTCCACAGGAGAAGCTCGTGTTCTGTTTATCCTGTTGCCGAAGTTGCTATCTGGCAACCATTTCGACAACCAGCTAGGCTGCTCTGCAAGGATTTTTTTCGAGATATCATTATCTCCGCATGCAGTTTCATCAAATGTCTTGAGGTTGAAGCTTGCTGACGACGCATATTATTACAAGAGAGACCTCAGGCATCCAATAGTCCTGTAGTATCCTGCGACTCACCAATGGATGTATGGAACAAAGATGTGCTCCATGACTCTGAGTTCATGTCGCATCACACGGTGGATAAGGAAGATGACACAAAAGAGGTAGAAGAGACTTATGAGTACGCTTATCTCGGATGGAGGGTCATTGCATGGAGTAGAGAGCTTTTTTCCACCAGTTGTCACAAAGGAGTATTTTTTCGTGCTCAAGATATCATCCATACCATTCCTGCTGCCTTCGAGAAAAGTAGTGCACATACATTGACACTGAAAGATTTGTATGCATCTTTCCCCACTCTGAGCGTGGATAGCAATACTATGTACATCTTCTCGAAAGTAAAAATGGTGGACCAGGAATTTCGTGTGGTAATGGTTGACCCGAGGAACAATTCACTCTCAAGCAGTGTTCGTCTAAACGGCCTAAACGGTCGATTAAACGGCCACTAAAAGGTAAACGGTGGTAAACTGTTTTGTTTAGGGGATAAACGGAAATTAAACGGTTGACCGAAACGGTCAAAAAATAGGAAAAAAGGTCTAAACGGCCTAAACGGAATGGAGATAAACTGTATTAAACGGGCTAAACAGTTGTTTAAACGGCTGTTTAGGCGAACACGAGATAAATCTAGTTTAGTTTTGTATGGATAAATTTGTATACTTAAGTTTATTATATTTATAAATGTGTACACTTGATATATTACATGCATAAATATCTATATTTGGTTCTTTTCACATGCATAAATATATATACATAACAAAATAATTGATTTTTACTCGGATAAATATGTATAAATGCTAGAATACTTGATTTTTTACATGCACATATATAATTATATGTATTTTTTTAAAAGTACAAAACCGTTTAACTTCGTTTAAACACCGTGTAAACAGCCTAAACGCTAAACAAAGGGCGACCGTGTAAAGACCGTTTACCGTTTAGGAAAACATTGCTCTCAAGATTCTCGCCGAGCCTAGTTGAACGAGCTCAACTTTTCAATCCTTCATATATTACTTGTGACATATTCAAATATCTCAATGCTGATTTAGGTAACTAATTTACACATTTGTTTTACCATATTTTCTTCGTATTATGTACTTCCTATTGATTATTGATTGTTGAAGAAAGTATGTTCATTTGTAATTTGGAGTTGCTGTAGGTAATGTTGAATATGCAAGAGAGGCAGTAGATGAGTTGGACATTGAATCTATTAACTATGATGCGGCTGAGGTGGAGAAAGGTATGTCCAATCCAAGAATTGCGTCCTCAAGTTCTTTGTATTGATTATTGATTGTTAAAGGAAGTATGTTCATTTGTAATTTGGAGTTGTTGTAGGTAACAGTGGATATGTTGGAGAGGCAGTAGATGAGCTAGACATTGAATCTGTTTACCATGATGCAGTTGAGGTGGAGAAAGGTATGTCCAATCCAAGAATTGCATCCTGAAGTTCTTTGTAATGTTGTTCTTATCAATATTTTATTTGGTGAAGGTGGGAAAGATAATTTTTGTTTTACCTCATTTGCCAATAACAAGTATCTGCCTCTATCGATGCTCAACACCATCGTGTTTTTGTAACTGTTTTCAGTCACCACCGCAGCAGTGAGGAAGCCAAAATTAGTACTTGAGTCAATGACTCAATATTTATTTCAACGATTTTTGTAATGTGACAGCTCTGCGATTTGTTCCACTTGATTGGGACGAGAAATACAATAAGGAGCAAGACACATGAGCTCATCCGTGTGGGTGTTTAGTGACAATGAGCTCAAGACACATCCATGTGAGCGTTTAGTGACAATGAGGAGTATCTCTTACAGCCCATCCATGCAGCCGTTTAGTGACAACGAGCTCAAGACACATTTGATGATTGCTATTATGTTAGGTTTAGAATTATTCTTTTGGGTTCTCATGCCCACTCTCAGTTCATCAGGTAAACTCTTTCCTTTACAATAAAGCAAATCTTCCTGACCTAGGGGTACTTTGTAGTGATTTTTATGAACTTGATGAGTTAATGACTCAATTTTTCCTTCTGACATTTTTTACAATGTGATAGGTCTACGATTTGGTACACTTGCTTGGGATGAGAAATACAATAAAGAGCTAGAAGTTGGGGCCTCATCAAATATGATATTTCTGTTACTAACCTTGGGGATTTTAGAAAATAATTCCAATAGAGGAGTGACTATGTATATATAGAGAGACTCATGGGCCATATGGGCCTACAGTAGATGTGCCTTAACACCCCCCCTTCAAACTCAAGGTGGAGCAGAGGCTCTGAAGCATTGAGTTTGAGAAAGTGCAGTCGATGTTGCTCTCGAGTTTGTGCCTTAGTGAAGAAGTCAGCCAATTGCAGCTCTAAGGGCACATACTGCCATACTGGAGATCAATGGTGTGCTGATGACAATGAGATCGAGTAAAGAAGGCATCAACACCAATATGCTTTGTAAGTTCGTGCTTCGTTTATAGGATCATTGGCAATCTGAATGGCTCCAGTGTTATCACATAGAAGAGGTGTTGCCCATCACAAGAAATTCCAAAATCAGCCAACAGCCATCAAAGCCATAAAATTTCTACAGTAGTAGTGGCAAGTGCTTGAAGTTCAGCCTCTGTACTAGAATGAGATACCACAACCTATTTTTTGGACTTCCAAGCAATAGGAAAAGAGCCAAGAAGAATACAGTACCCTGTTATGGAACGACGATCTGTCGGGTCACTTGCCCAAGTGGAGTCCGAGTAAGCATGAAGTTGAAGCGGACTATCACAAGCATAGAATAAACAGCGAGATGATGCCCCCTGCAAGTATCGTAGCACACGAAGTAAGTGACCAAAATGAATCGAAGTAGGGACATACACAAATTGACTAAAAATATGGACTACATGAGCAATATCAGGTCTGATAACAGTCAGATAAACAAGATTACCAACAATATGACGATATCTGGAGGGATCCTCAAGTGGTGTATCATCAGTAGGACGAAGCTGCAAGTAAAGATCCATAGGTGTTGCATTATTAGTGATGCCTAAACGATGGTATCCTCGGTAGATTGCTTCACCAAAATGCCTAAGATGGTATCGTTAAGGCCAGGTGAACCCACCGGCGGCCCATATCACGAGAAGCACCACAGCATGTCGTCGGACGGCCAGACCAGCCCATATTCCAATGAAAGCGAAGCCCATGAAGGCCTGGTTCAGAATGAGCCCATGGTATAAGGAGCACGTGGGCTTCGTGTAACCCAAACGAATGGACCGGCAGCAGGAGGCGCCAGCAATCATCGTCATGGCACTCTCTCGTCTGCTCGTCTCGTCGTGTCGAGCAGAGAAGAGGCCGCAGCCGCAGCCAGGCAACCAAGCTCGCTGACCCAATTTAATCCCCACCGATCAAAACAGCGCTGGGAGCGCGACGTCCAACTCCCCAACCACCAAGCATGGTCACCGTGGTTGACAGGTACCTGCCCGCCTTAACCCTCCCAGCCTCCCAACGCCGCCCGACTCGATCGTGCTCAGCCTCAGCAATTACCACCAATGCCGGCTGCCCCCGCCACGCGCACCACAACGACCCATGGCCGACGCCGAGAACCCGCCGACCAAGCCCACCAAAGCCTCCGCCGCACCCTTCGTCGTCTTTGACGCCGCCAGCGCCAACAAGGTCACCAAACCCAAAGCAGCCGCCGCCGTCGCCAGCGCCGATGCCCCGACGCACGGCCGCCGCTGGCGCTGGATGCGGTGGGCGTGCTGCGGCGCGGCCGTCGCCGGCGCGCTGACCGCGGCGGCGGTCCTGACGCTGTCGCTCACCGTGCTCAGGGTCCGGGACCCGACGCTGTCCATGGAGTCCGTGGCCGTCAAGCGCTTCAGCGTGCGCTTCGACGCCACCGCACACCCCGATCGGCCGCTGCGGATCAACCTCACGCTGTCCGGCGACATCGTGATCCGCAACCCCAACTACGAGTCCATGCGGTTCAGCGCCAGCGCCACGGAGATCTTCGTGGAAGGAGCGGCGGAGCTGGGCCCCGTTGGCGTGGGGCGCGCGCCGCCCGGGGAGGTCCCCGCGCGCGGGGCCAGCCGGGTGGGCGCCGACGTGAACGTGTTCGTCGACAGGGTCGCGCCCGCCGTGGTGGCGAAGGTGCTGTTCGGCGACGGCGAGGTGCGGTTCGACACCCGCACCGCCGTCGAAGGCAGGGTCAGCCTGCTCGGCGGACTCTACGGCCGCCGCACCGTGCGCGTCGCCATGCGGTGCCGCGTCGCGCTCCGCGTCTCGGCCGCGACCGTCGCCGTCGCCGGCAACCCCGCGTGCGTCGCGGACTTTGGACGCTGACGACACCTGCTCTTCGGTAGCTTCGCGCTGTGACGGCCGTGTCTGTGGGTGAGCCGGCCGGTGTAGTTTTTACCCTTCTATTATTTACCGCCGGCGGTGACCGGCGGAGCTAGTTACTGTGGCGGCTAAGATATTACCGCCGAGTAGTGCTCCTGCTACCTACCTCCCTCGTTCCTTGTTAGTAAATTCCGGCTTGCTTCGTTTAGCCTGAAACGATGATACCTCGCGCGCTGCTGCACTAACTTTATAGTAGTTTTATGATGAAATTTTATGGAGCTAGAAATATATAGCTTTGTGTTAGAAAATGATGTTACAATATTGTTGTGCAGTAATGCTAAGCTAAGATAACGTAACGTTTGATGGTTTAAAGGATGTTAACTTAACTGGAAAATTATCATCCATGCATAAATCAGTGTTTCACTTATGCCTCATAACTACTCGTGTTAAACAAAGCTCATTTTACAGCCACGAGAACGCTCTGAATTGAAAAGAGAAATAAGCTTATTATTATTAGGAAACACAGAGATACACGTGTGTTCATCTTGCCGTATGGTTGCGTAGGTTCCGTCAGCTCCGTCGGTGGGCCACCGTCACAGGCCTTATCCCAGCAACTGCGCGCAGAGCAAGCCCGTGACCTTCTTCGTCCACATCTTCTACCGCAGACCAGCAACAAATAGTTCGGCTTCGGCATAAGGAAAAGAAAAAAAGAAAACAACAATAAATCGCTCGTCTCGTCCTCACCGCCGCCACAGCCTTCCATTGCCGCATCCGTTGGCATCTGTCCACTAAATATGCTCGGTAGTTCAACGAGGGGATCCCCACAATGATAAATCGATCGGAGGGATGCACGAAATCAAGAATAAGAAGGAAACAGAGACACAAGAGTTAGATAGATTCGGACCATTAACACAACGTAATACCCTACTCCTGTGGTCTATTGGTTTGTATTGGCTATTGCGTGTCTTTAGAGGGGGTCCCTGCCCACCTTATATAGTCTGGGGGGCAGGGTTACAAGTCGGTTAGATCTAGAAGATAACCGGGAAGTAATAACAGATTACAGGAATCATGAAATCATACGTATCCTAACAGATCTTGTAGTATCTTCAGGATATCTTTCCGATGTCTTGCGGGATGCGCGAAAGCGGCGCCGTGCTCGCAAGGCTTCGTCTTGTGGGTGGACCACCCCCGGGGCGAGCCCATGGTTTGCCATGTGGTATCCGGGTCGCACCCCACAGCTAGTCCCCGAGCACCTTGTATCCGTTGTGCAACGCCGTCTTGAACTTGTCCGAGCAGATGTGAACAAAGCCGAGCAGTCAGACTCATGGTGTGACCACCGTGATGAGTTGCCGAGCAGTTGTGAACCCTCGTCGAGAAGTTGCGAACCATCGCCGAGCAGTTGCGAACCGTCGCCGAGCAGTTGTGAACGATGAGCAGCATATCCCAAGTAAGGCTTGCTACAGGGATGTAAGGAGCTCAAGTTCAAAATCAAAAATTATCTCGCAGTGGACCAAGTGTGCCCACTTAGAGTCCGACCACAAGAAAGGGAGACAGTCTTCTTTAACTTCAGGAGGCGCGGAGTCTTCCAGAATAAAACAAACACACTCACCGCGAGGTGAAGTGTGCCCACTTAGTCTCCGAGCCTGATAGTAGGTGACGTAGTCACATGGTGCCAGGATCCTAAGTAGAAGAAAAGCAGAAAACCAGCCGAGCAGGTAGCCAGTCCCCGAGCGTAGCCCCGAAATGAGAAAAGCACATTCATCGCAAGGTGGAGTGTGCCCACTTAGTCCCCGAGCCTGACAGTAGGTGACGTGGTCACGTGGTGCCAGTGTCAGAAACAACAGTCAACGGAAGATAGTCCCCAGTGTGGTGAGAAATCAAGTCGTATTGATGACGTAGTCCCCAAGCCACAAGTGGAAATCTTGGAGAAAACAAATCGTAGAGAAAAAACTGAAGTAATTGTTGTACAGTAGTGATTATTGAGCCTTAATTAATTGTAGAGAAGTCGCGAATATTCGACGAGCAGTAACAAGTTGCAGCAAAAATCGGTGATATGGGTTGTAGCTGGCGATGTCCGAGCACCGAGGAGTCCCCGACGTAGCTGACGATGAAGCGACGAACAATACGACCAGTTGGTTGACGAAGAAACATGCACCGAGCAGCCCAATCAACTAGTCGGCAGCGAAGTGATGGAACATCAAGGAGTCCCTAACTTAGCTGGTGAGCCCCAGCGTAGCTGACAATGAAGCGACGAACAATCCGACCAGTTGGTTGGCGAAGAATCGAGCGCCGAGAAGCCCAACCAACTGGTCGGCAGCGAAGTGATAGAACGCCGAGGAGTCCCCAGCTTAGCTGGCGAGCCTCAGCTTAGCTGGCGATGAAGCGACGAACAGTCCGACCAGTTGGTTGGCGAAGAAGCATGCACCGAGCAGCCCAACCAACTGGTCGGCGGCGAAGTATATGAACCTAGCGGTCCGATCAGTTGATTGGCGGAGAAGTCCGAAGGCTAGGTGGTGCGACCACCGTGACGATGATCCTGCAATAAATATGTAGAATGGGTAGTATATGATGTAAAAATAAATATATGAACTCCGGAGAAGAATCAACAATGGTGATGAAATAGCGTATACAGCTAGGTGGTCAGTTGGTGTGAACACTAAGTGTTCTTTTGGAGATATGTTTATATTTAATATAAACTGTCCGATCAGTTAGTGTGTAGCTGAGTCTCCAGCCCTCGCTAACCCGTTAACTATAACGCGGAGCCCGTGACCGTGTAGGAAGAACAAAGCGTTGCTAAGGAGCCGCTGCCGACCACCCATAACGCAGAGGGCAGACGCTCGTGCACGTGTAGGGAGGAGCCGGAGACAAGGCAGTCTCTGGAGGCGTCCGAGCATCAACGTGACTGTTCGGGGATTTACCTTAGGCGTAGTTTGCATGTCATTTTTAAGATGGTATACATGAAAGAAAATCGTTTGGAGAGCAAACATGGAGAAAACAGCTCGGAGACATATCATGGTGATATATAAAGATTGGAGAATATTGAGAAGAATATTAAAGCGTGAATTAGCTTGATTGATGACAGAGCGGAGTAGTTGGCGCGTCGCGATGTCTGAGTAGATCGCTCGTCTGGCGGCTTAGGCAGATACGAAGTAGCAGTCAAATAGGCGTAGTCAGAGTACGTGTACTGTGCAAAGGCTGGAGCCTACACAGACGTGTGGATTCTGACGTAGCTTGACGAAGTCCAAAGCACGGACATGGTGAAGTTGTCGGCGTCGATGAAAGGACCTAGGATGTCGCCTAGAGGGGGGGTGAATAGGCGTTTCTGAAAATTAACACCTTTAAATGCGGAAACAATTAGAAAGGGGAGTTTCCAAAATGGAAACTCCAAATTAAGAGTACTACCACCCCTCACAAGTTAGCCACAGAGTAAACAAGGTATAAAGAATATATCTAGAAGCTACAACCCTGCAACATCAAGTTAGAACAGAGAATAAATATTTTTAGTGCAGGCAGGAAATACCGGACGTGTCCGGTATGAATACCGGACGTGTCCGGTATACACGATTTCTGCAGATCAGCCCCGAACTTGCTCCTTTTGATTTCTATCTTCAAACCAAACTGCAGGCACCTAATTTAACTATCAGTATACACAGAGAACCTGCACAAGTGCTAGAGCAACACAAATATCAAATGAAATGCGAATTGAGACACGATATTTGTTTTACCGAAGTTCGGACTCGTTCGAGTCCTACTCTCCGTTGAGGGGGCTGCGGGCGACCCAGCGAAGGTCAGCCCTAGAGGATACCACGAAGGTCACTCTAGCCGGAGTCTTTTCCAACTCCTTTTCCTCCTTCCACTAATTGATTCCGAGGCGGCGGAATCGACCGTTACAAACTTTCCGAGGCACACCACAATCTCCCGGGTGCTCTCCGGCGACGTCTAACCGTCTAGGACCGAAGAGTCCAAGAGTAACAAATGCGAATCACGAGATTGACAATATGCACAAGTGCTCAAGTGGTTGGATGGCTCTCTTTTGAATTTCACTCAACCCACAAATTGATTTTGCAAGTTTGATCAATCACTCACTAAGAGAGGGTTGGCAAGGCTCAAAAACGTGTGTCTAAGTCAGTAGAATCAGCAGCCTCCAAAGGTGGAGGCTTGGGGGTATTTATAGCCCCCTTGAAAAACTAGCCGTTTTATAGCCGTTGCAATACCGGACACGTCCGGTATGCATACCGGACACGTCCGGTATGACTCAGACTGCGCCAACGGTAACTAAGTTACAGTGATGTTGTGAGACGTCGGAACTCCCGAAGTATGCCGGGACTTCCGACCGTCGGAACTCTCGACTCAAGTCGGAACCCCCGACCCTCAGCAATTTTGAAAAACATGTAACTGAGTTAAAGTTAGTGAGGTGTCGGAACTCCCGACGCATGTCGGAACTCCCGACCCTCACGGCTTTTGAAAACTAGCCGTTGGCTTCTGGTCATCCATACCGGACACGTCCGGTGTGAATACCGGACACGTCCGGTATGACCAGGACAGTGAAACCTCAAAGTGTGTTGAAGTGCGAGACGTCGGAACTCCCGACTCATGCCGGGACTCCCGACCGTCGGAACTCCCGACCTACGTCGGAACTCCCGACGAAGCAACCCGAGAACAACAATTTTGCAGCTGCTGGACAAATACCGGACACGTCCGGTATGAATACCGGACACGTCCGGTATTGCCAGACCAGCAAGAAATCAGTTAGCACATTTGTCGCTCAAATAATCAAACCTCACATGGGTTGGCTTGAGCACTTATGAAACATTATCTATCAACATGATGCATCCCTCTTAATAGTACGGCATACCTATTAAACTCAAGATCAAAAGAAAAATGAATTTATACCACTTGAGTTGATTTCTTTTGAATTGATGCCGTCCCTTCCAATCTTCATCAAGTAAGGGTGCTAACAAGTTGATGTTGATCTTTTCATTTGAGCATAGCCATCTTGAGCA